GTGTGAAATAACAGCATCATAATTCCACTGAAGTTAAACAGGATTCAAATATTGACATAATTATAATTGCTAGAATTTCAGCTTACTGTATGTGTGAAGCAGCATTAAAATATTCTATACTATCACCAGAATTCATATACATAAACTAGTAGCCTGTTATATTCATGCATAATAATGACATATTGCAATGCATTGAGACGTTGCAATGCATTGAATACCAGCTGCAATGTTATAGAGTATGACGCCCCAAGGGAGCTGACTATGTGTTCCGTAGGTATTTAACCCAATGACCAGGATTTGCAAGGCAGTACCATAATGCTCTATAAAATGAAGTAAAACATCATATTGTAATACATGATTAATATTACTGAAATATTTACAAAATAACAATAGTTCCCTTGTATTGAATTAAATAAACACCACATAAAACGAAGATTCTGAAAAAGTACTTACTGAAAAGCAAATCCTTGTATTTAAGAAACACCATATAAATAATATTTGTATTATAAAACATGGTCTGCTTATTAAATTATGTATGAAAATATGATTGATGAATAATCACTATTAGTATCTTGCTCATTGGTTAGTTGTACTGTGACAGACACTATTGCATTCCTTCACTTGAGGAATTATGCATGAAAGCAACACCGATGAATATCTCGCTTAGAAAATTATAATTTTATGGTGTAGTTGCTTAGCAACTGTTTCCGCTCATGTCTTTTACGCTGATTGATATAGATCATTGGCATTGTGGGATGCATAATGTTATCGGCCTTGGCACCATATTATCCTCATCTTCTGTAATTTTATTAGCGGAAGGAGAACGTGGATGGAATCGTCCATCCATATTTATTCACTGATTTGTAAAAATGTAGTAATATTCGTTATTAAATCCAAAAATGGTGGTCTATAACTTTGTTGTGATCTAAATTTTCTCATTATATTTTTTTACCGTTGTGAATATCCAATGATTACTCCGTTGTAATAATCATTGGCGTACAACGACATATTGATTAGTTTAGATGTCCCTGCGGAGTTTTAGTGATTTGCATCTTATATAATATGCAGGAGGAGCTGAGACGTATTGAGAATACTCGTACATATCGCAGCTGAGACGTATTGAGAATACTCGTACATATCGCAATCCTGCTCATTCAAATCGGTAGTGATACTGTATATCTGGAATGAATTTTCCAAAATTCAAAAGTTTTTTTTTTCCGAAAAGTATTGATTGATTGATTGAATTTTCATGTTTTTGTGGATGACTGACATTTCAAAAAAGAAAGTCTATGGCATTCAAATCCTAATTTTTATTACAGGTAAACCAGACATATTGAGAGGACTGTTGTTATCAGGCTGTTGTTAAAACGTTCTTGTGGCTTTGCCGTCCTCCTCTTGTCAGATTTCAGATTGATAGTGATTATCTGGAATATATTTCATGTTTATGTGGATGATAAGAAGATACGTCTACAGAGTTCAAGCACCAAACTTAAGTGAACTGATGGTTTTCTGGTTGAAATTCTTCAAAGTACTCTTAGTGTTATTGGAAAATTGAATATAATATTCATCTGGAGTTTCTTGGTGTTGAGATCAAGATTATTTTTGGATATTGTAGGAAGTTGTGAATTTTCATAAAATGTACTAATGATCACCTGATTTTTGAAAACAAATCTTTAAAAGGTGGCTGGTTGACTGATGGATTTATTAATTTCTTTAATGATGAAATATTGATTAATCGGATTAATTGGAATTTTCTCATCTTCAAATCAGAACTGTTACATAATTATTACTTGCATCTTACAGATTTTAAAGATACAGTATTTTCAATTTTCTGAAGCCACATTATCATCTCATTGTGCATGCCATCTAGTGACTGGATTTTGAAGTTGTTTATAATAATATTTCTAAATCTGAAAAATAAAAAACAGAATCTTATCCTTTTTAAATTTATACAGATTTCACTTTTAAAACAGTGGCACTCAACATTGTTGGTGCATCCAGAATATAATACAAAAATATAAAAATACTTAAGAGCTACTTGAGATATTACTTACAACTTACTGAGTGCTTATCACAGTCACCTTTATTGTATGCTTCCTAGTTTTTGCAGTTGGGATGTCAATCTTCCCTTTGACCACAATCTGGAAAACTAATTCCTTGAAATTTCTGTCTTAAAGTCTTGAGATATAACTGTTTACCGTCATTCATTAGTTTTTTAATTTAAAGACAAGAAAGAACATTTTTGAAGCAATTAAAGCAAGGTTAAATAATTGCATTGAACATTCTTAAATTAAAAAAAACTGCCATTGCTTACTACCAGCTACTCATCTCCAGGAAATCTTTTAAGTATCATCCTTAATTTACTGCCAATTTATTTACAGTTCAATTTCCAAATTGTTGTTGCTTTGTATGTGATAATTTCCATCCTATCACTGAGATATAATACATAAATGCTCTATATATAAACAAACAGGAAAAATTTAACAATTAATGTTTTCTATTTCCTGGTAGTGATACTTATTATGCAATCTATAATTTCATTGTAGAATTTTGAGGGAACGTTGTAAAGTTTGATTGGATTATCCAACATGCACAGCACAGCTCTAGTATGAGCTATTAACTCCTGCTGGCTTCTTTATCCTGCATCTACATTTGGTTAAATCCACACAAAGAAATATTATTGAACATCAGTAAAACCAGCGAATGAATCATGAATTATTTAATATGTGTTCATCTGTACTTGGCAATTGATAGCTTTTGATTACAGACAGAAAGATGATGATCTTGACATGGTAAAAATAGTATGCAAGACAGGATCTAATGAGAATATGATTATACTGTATTGAATTGGATTTTTTGATTCTTAAATACTGAAGATTTTATGGATTTTGAATCTGATCTGAATTTCAAACATATTCTATATATCTGTGACATTTTGAATTTATTGTTTTAGTAGTGCACAGTTTCAGGATTTATAGTTTGCATTCAAAGAAATCGCAGGGAGTGTCACAAATAACATTTTGTGGATTTTTTCTAGGAAAAAAAACTTGGCAACTTTCTTTTAACTCATATTTTGATAAATCGTATACTGCTGACTCGCAGAATTTGGGAAAGTATCGTCTGGTGGATTATGTGGATAAAAAAGCTGGAAAATTAATGACTTCCTTTCAATCATCTTTGTAACTGTTGGCAATCACACTGACAACTTATCATCTATAACAAAATTCAGGGTTGTAGTTTACACCAAGCAATTTGCCGCATAATAGTTTATCGCAAAGATAAGTGATTTCAATAGATTTGTTGTGGATTGATTTTTGTGTTTTATCATGAATAAACAAGGATCAGTGAAGATGGCACGTCGACCAAAACAATATCTGTCACGCACGGTTATTAAAATATGTTTGGTTGTCAAGGGAATTAAACCAAAATCCAAAGTTCGAAGGTCGTATGTCTGTAGACAGGCAGTGTATAATGGTTTGTTGGAATGTGTTTTTACATGCTTTAAATTTGAGTATTGTTACACGATAAATATTGCATTGTATGGGTTTCTTGAAAATAGTTCATTATAATTAATTAATATTCTTTATTAAGTGCATTCTATTTTTTTAGCTTGAGTCTTCCTTAATACTCATTATAAATCTTGATGATAATGATGATGAGTAAGATAATCTGATACCGATGATAAAATAACATTACTTCCTCGCCTACTTGTGCCAATACTGTATTTTATATTTCCTTATTGTTTTTATGCATGATTTTTTTTTTTTGACGTTATGTCCGTACATGTTCTATACTGTTAAAGTTACACGTATGCAAGCGATCATTTATGCATTGACCTAATTTATACGTTTCACACAAATTTCAAATTATAAATGTGTGTAAATATTAGGATCTACCCAGTAACTCTTAAATAATATTTTATGCCTTAACAATTATCTGTGGGAGATTACCCACCCTGGTCACATTAGTGAAAATACTTATACTGATATGCAAGAGGTCCCAAACATTTTCCTGCCCCTGGACCCCATGACTTGTCTTTACGCCCTGTCTCTTATACACATCTAGATGTGTATAAGAGACAGCTTATCATCTATAACAAAATTCAGGGTTGTAGTTTACACAAAGCAATTTGCCGCATAATAGTTTATCGCAAAGATAAGTGATTTCAATAGATTTGTAAAGGATTGATTTTTGTGTTTTATCATGAATAAACAAGGATCAGTGAAGATGGCACGTCGACCAAAACAATATCTGTCACGCACGGTTATTAAAATATGTTTGGTTGTCAAGGGAATTAAACCAAAATCCAAAGTTCGAAGGTCGTATGTCTGTAGACAGGCAGTGTATAATGGTTTGTTGGAATGTGTTTTTACATGCTTTAAATTTGAGTATTGTTACACGATAAATATTGAATTGTATGGGTTTCTTGAAAATAGTTCATTATAATTAATTAATATTCTTTATTAAGTGCATTCTATTTTTTTAGCTTGAGTCTTCCTTAATACTCATTATAAATCTTGATGATAATGATGATGTAAGATAATCTGATACCGATGATAAAATAACATTACTTCCTCGCCTACTTGTGCCAATACTGTATTTTATATTTCCTTATTGTTTTTATGCATGATTTTTTTTTTGACGTTATGTCCGTACCTGTTCTATACTGTTTTTATATATAATGCTTTTTAATTTTATTTGTACTTTTTGATTTTGCCAACTGAAGATGCTTTTCCTTTGTATTTTATATGATCGAAAATAAAGTTTTATTCATATTCGTATGATAAATAAGATAATCTGATACCGATGATAAAGATAATCACAAGAATATAGCATTGAATTTGTCAGTGGTGAATTTTGATGGGGAGGCAGCTGGCAGCACAATAATGAAAACTGATATTACATGATATTACACAATATTACATGATATTTTAAACATGAAAATGACATTTAATGTTTTGTCTGTCTATAGTGCTAAATATATTTTATTTTTTTGATAGATCCCAACCAAGCAGTCGCCAAACCAACTAAAATCAAACCTAGCAGTCGCCAAACCAACTAAAATCAAACCTACAATTCCGACCTCAACACCGCCTGACCTTCTGTCAACCTCCATAGCGAACGAGACAGCAGCGGAGGAGATCAAGCGGTTGGAAGCTCTCTGCGAATCGAGGACCAAGGAGTTGAATCTCACCAAGATGCAGTTAAAGACAGGCCTCGCGGGATTTGATGCTTTTGCTATTTTACTACAGCACCTCACACATGATGTAAGCTCATTAATATGCATAATAAAGATGCTCATTAATATGCATAATCATTTCATTAGTATGCATTTTTAATATTCATATTATGTGCATAATATATTTATATATTAAACTAACTAAGATGCATTACATAATCTTAATAATACTCTGATAAGTTTTAATATGCATAACTAAAATCAAACCTACAATTCCGACCTCAACACCGCCTGACCTTCTGTCAACCTCCATAGCGAACGAGACAGCAGCGGAGGAGATCAAGCGGTTGGAAGCTCTCTGCGAATCGAGTTGAATCTCACCAAGATGCAGTTGAAGACAGGCCTCGCGGGATTTGATGCTTTTGCTATTTTACTACAGCACCTCACACATGATGTAAGCTCATTAATATGCATAATAAAGATGCTCATTAATATGCATAATCATCTCATTAGTATGCATTTTTAATATTCATATTATGTGCATAATATATTTATATATTAAACTAACTAAGATGCATTACATAATCTTAATAATACTCTGATAAGTTTTAATATGCATGTGTAAGCTCATTAATATGCATATAAATAAATTTATAAATATGTATATATGATAAGCTCATTAGTATGCATATGTAATAAATATTTCAAATATTCATATTGTGTTTGTGATCTTTTATTTTTATATAACTTTAGTGCACTCTGGCTCAGAATCTTTCACGGCATAAATCTGTGGTTTTGTCCTAAACTTTGATTGCCAAATGAATAATAATATTGATGATTATGAATGTATAAATATATCGTAGATAAAGGAAGAACATGGCGTCTTAAATGTTGAGTTTGTCTCTGGCCAATTTCAGATTTGCTTATTAATGTCAAAATGACCAACAATTGAGTTCAAGGCAAATATTGTAGTCTGCAAATAAGTCACATGATTAAATTATATTAATTATACTGAAAATATATAGGTCCATGTGAAAAGCATTTAAACAAAATAAATTTTAATTGTCAAAAAAAAGTTTTTTTTATATACCATTCTAATGCTGTATTTCAATAAAACTCTTATTTTCAGATGGATGTGTTCTCATGTTCAGACTTAAAAATAAGAATCAATGAACTGGAAACTAAGTATCAGGAAACTTGTACTCTAACTGGTGAGAGTAGATAATATATGCATCAATTATACATATTATGCAACACTTACAAATTTACAAGTTTGAAAGATAGAAGTTGTTTTAATTTTTCTGTGGACAATGTTGAGAAGATTGTGAGAGTATAAATGTTTAAAACAAAGAAAGACTGTTTGCTCTGCTAATCTTTTTTTATCTAATTTTTAATTATTTAGAAACACTAACAGATGAAAAGTTACAACTTGAGGAAGACCAGCGGATTCTGAGACAACAACAAGAAGAATTTGTCGAAAAACTAAAAGAGGATTGTAAACAATCCATAGATGAACTTGAAGAGACGCTGAATGCAAGGCACGCACGAGAAATGAATGAATGTATGTTAGTCATTTTGCAGTTATTTCTCTTTTATACAATAATAAAAATGAGATGTTATTTTATAAGGAAACTTAACAAATGTTCCCTAGCCTCATTGATATTTAACTAAAGTACAGTAATTATAATTAATTTACCGTACAGTGGAAACATGCAAAGGTCTATCTGACCACACCTCAGGCCATCAAATGAAATAACTTTTCATTCTCATGCATAATGAAATGTTGACAACCCAGTTTTTGTAGGAGCCAGCTGGATTAGATATTTGGACCTCCATTTGTGTTTATTCATTAACATAATTTCAGTATGATTTATATGGGTTTCCTTTTTGCAGTGGTGAGGCAACAAACAGAGGATATAGAATTGCTCCATAAACGCTACAAACGAGAAGTAAGTTGATCAAACTTTATCAGTCAATGAATTTATTAAACTGTCTTGGATGATTGAAGGAATAAATCATTGTGTTGATAAATTCCTTTCCCAGTTCTCTTAACTTGAGTGAACAGTTAGGTCAAAAAAGACACCCTGCTTGGCCTGTCATCCCTTCCCTGCCATGGATATTGCCTATTCCCTCTCCTAGCTGTCACACATTCTACGTTCACGCTATTCGACATTGGTAGTACTATTACATAAATTATTTGATTGGAATACTATTATCAGTGGTGGAATCAAGGAACTCCTTAGAGAGGCCTGTGTGAGGAATTTCTACAGATAGAGGGTCTAACCCACTTCAGCCCCAACATGGTTAGGGCTGAGGTAAGATATTTTATAATTGTGGCACCTGAAATAAATTTAAATATAATTTACTTTTTTATTTGTGGGAGATTACCCACCCTGATCACTTAGCAAAACTAATTTACTGATATGCAAGGGCCCAACATTTTACCACCCCATAACTTGTTACGCCACTGCAGGCATATAATAAAATATTGATATAATAGTGGGTTCACCTAAATACTGTTTTCAATTCGTCAGAAATATAGTAAATTACCACATATAAATTAAAAATTTGTTTCTTTAATATTAAAATAAGTTTTTTTGCAAACCTGCTCACGACCCAATCCAAAAGTTAAAATTGGGATTAAATCTGTATATACTGCACATGCGATGAAAATCTAGCCTAGATGAGGATGTATATTGTTTATATGACAATTTGCTTTTGCAATTTTGACGAACGATGCCATTTTTTTTTTTGGCCAAACAGTGTCTCAATTCGCTGTAAATTGGCAAACGGCTAGTGTGAGCGTAACATTCTATGTCTCGGCTATTAGTGTAAAACATTTCCTGTCTTGGCTATTAGTTTCCCATCCCCTGTCCTTGCTGTCACCCATCCCCTGTCCTGTCTATCACCCCCTCTACTGGCTGTCACCCTGCCAGTTGCCCATCCTTTTTACAGTATGTGCTACAGCACACATTCCTTCTGTTGGCTATCTCCCATTCTTAGTCTAATTTCTAAATAAGTACTAATTTTTGAGTTCTTCCTAGTAAGAAAATATTATAAAGCTCTGCCTATCTCCACTATTAAATTTTCAAAAAAACTATAGTATATCCATATATAGTCATGACGTGCCTATATATGGTCATGATGCGACTCATCATGACCATATTTAGGCATGTAATTGTATGTTTCATTTGTTCAGTTATCTGAACAAGCTGAGCAGAATGATCAGCTGACTGAAACATTAAAAACAAAGCATGCTGATGAAAAAAGACT